TAAGCAGAGACAGATGGGAGTGCTTGGGGCTCTTCCAGTATTGTGGGATTACAGGAAGTCGGAGCTCAAGCTCCCCAGGATGTCCAGCCCCACTGAGTGAGGAAAGAACTGAGGCTCAGGGTGGTGGTGGGGATGGTGGTGGTGAAGGGACTCACCTAAGGACGCCAGGCGCTAGGCATCCAGGAGGAAAGATTCCCACTGCCTACCTCTTGGGACATCCTTGTTGGCAAATAAGCCTATTTTAAACACACCAAGGAAGCTCCCTGTTTAAAGATAATCTGTGTGAAAATCTACCCTTAAGGTACAAAATCATTTTATAAACCGAGTTTTAAAATTCTAAGCATATTATAAGTGAGTAAGGTTAAGTGCATAATGAGACGCTCATAAATTCAAATCATGTTTGTGTACAGCAAGGTCGCCAATCTCGGGGCTGGCTTCTGAGAGTGCCTCCAGTACTTTCTACACCTCTAGGTTTTAACTTTGGAAACGTCATTTCTTTCTAGGTATGTGTCTTTGTCCAGGCGTTACCCTCATTTTTTCACTTTAGTTTATCATGAGGATTTTAAAATGGTCCATGGCCATTTTGAACCACCCTGGTTCCTCCTTCAGCCCACAGGTATCTGCCCTCTATGGCGGCTCAAGGGAGGTGTACACCTGAAGGTCACCATCCCCAGGCCAACCTTGCTGTGTGCTTGGAGGAGCAGTACATGTGAGCCGAAGTGCTGAAGATGTAGTTTCTGACCCTAAGAAGATGAAATTAGTAAGTTCTTCTTGCTGATGCCCCTTCATACTCCAATAACAATTCTAAAAAAAAAAAAAAAAAAAAAAAAAAAATTAAATTATTTTAGTCTGTCTCTTTTTAGCAAATCAGTGAAGCTTGTAGGCTCAAGAGAAAGTTGGCAGAGTTGTTGACACTTGCGTCATTTCAGTGGTTCTAGGTAAACCTCTGGACGGGATTCAGAGATAGCCTGTGTCTCCCTGGAATATTATTTGTGGTTTCCATACAAGACATTCATCTCTGAAGAAAGGATGCTGCATTACAGGTGGGGGAGTCATGGAAAGTAATACTTCCCAGGAGCTATTACTCACCCATTTCTGCTTCATGTGGGGGCCCTAGCACACCCAAAGTGAGGGTGTGTTAAGTGTGGAGGTGCCTTCCTTCCTGCACCACATTGCTGAGGCCTCTAGGAACAACTCTGTCTCCAGTTGCTAGCTAGGGTTCTTCCTTTCACAATAAGCAAGGAAGAGCAGGTGGTGAGTTCAAGGCTGGCCTCTGTCCATCTGTCTGCCTTTAGTTTGCCTGGAGACACACTTAAGAGAGCCTGAGCCTGGAGTGGTAGAGAACACCTGTAATCCCAGCACTCTAGGAGGCTGAGGCAGGAGGATTACAAGTTCAAGCACAGCCAGGGCAATTTAGCAGCTTGGTGAGATCCTAAGAATAAAACAGGAAAAGGGTCTTGGAATATAGCTGAATGCAAAGGCCCTGAGCATAATCTCTGGTATGAGAAAGGGAGAGAGGAGAGAGAGGGAGGGAGGAAAGGAGAGAGAGAGAGAAAGAGAGAGAGAGAGAGAGAGAGAGAGAGAGAGAGAGAGACAGACAGACAGACAGACAGACAGACAGACAGACAGAGAGACAGAGGAGAGAGAAAGAGAGAAGAAGGAGAAGGAGGAGGAGAGGAGAGGAACAGGGAGAGGAGATGGAGCAGACAGAAGAGATACAGCAGAGAGAGGAGAGAGAGGAGAAGGAGGGAAACAGAAGGCAGACACTCCAAGTTGGAGGAGAAACTAAAACAAAAACTCAAGCCCTCTACAGACCATCTGACAAAGGTTCCCAGAGACGAGTTTTCTCACATCTCTCTTTCCACGGCCTCCTTCCTGGAGCAGAGGGGGAAGGACCAGTATGTCTGCGGCAGGCCCTGACAAATGCCTTTCACTGGTGGGCTGTGCGGAGCAGCAGATGGAGGGAAGGAACTTGGTCCTGCAGCCTGCAGAGAGAGGGGCTGGAGTGAGCGTTTTCACTGTCTGGGAGGAGAAGGCACAGGGACTTGTGGAGTAAGTAGCACATCTTGTCTATGGAGTGAGCCTCAGGCTCCTGAGGCCCTGGGATCAACTCAGCATGGTTACCAGCAAGCACCCAGCCAGTCCCCATCCAGGGCGCACACCCAGGGCCCCAGGAGTGTGCAGCTGGGCCATACTGCCCCAGCCCTCCCCGCACTTGGCTCTCCTCCTCTCTGCCTCTCTGGTCACTTCCTGGGACCACCCACCATTCTCCTTCACCGTGGCTCAGAGTTTGTTTTTCTAGGAGGATTAGTCCAAGTGTAAACGCCATAGGCCTTCTGGCCCTCCCAGAAAAAGCCATTTCTGTGTAAAGTGAAAATTAGGCTCTTAAATCTGCAAAGAAAGCTGTTTATCTTACAAATTTATTCTTTTTATTGGGCCACACATATCCAAGATAGAAAGATAAAAGGAAAACAGATACGGACCATCACTTAGAGTGACATATAGTGAGTTCCGCTCGTAGCAACTTCTATACAGCCTTCCGGCGCCTTGTCTCCATGTTTATCTGGAGTGTGCTCTGGGCCAGCACTGTGAAAAACACATCCAGAGATGTGCCCTGCGTCCTCTTTCCTGTGCCAGCTTTGTCCTCTTCACAGTGGGGGAAAGCTCCTGGGGCAGTTTATAGGACAGGAAGACCTGTAGGAATGGACTCTCAGGAGGTTGCACCTGTTAACTCCGGCATGCAGTTAATGTCCAGTGCGCTCAGGGCTGCTTGTAACTCAAATTGACAGTCACCGGCCTCTGGACTGGGTGTCTTAACTGTGTTTTGAGGTGTACTTGGGCAGAATTCTAAACCAACTCATCGTGATCCCAGCCAGAGGAAACTTGGACAGAGGAGGACAGATGAATGGATGGATGATTGGCAAGGCATCCCAGCTCCAAGGTTAGTGGCGTCCTCACCACAATTTTCAGCTCACTCTCTAGCTTCATGGTAAATCCCACTGTGAAAACAAGGGAACCTTGTTCCTGGATCCATCTAATGGATGGATCCAGGAGGGCAAATGCAGAGGGCCATGGGTCAGGATGGGCAGGGTGGGATGTGGGATGACATTTCAACTGTTGGGACTTAGGTGGGTTGGCTTGGAGTGGCATCTGGCTGTTCTAGGCCATGATCAGGTGCCTCTGGTAGCAGCCCCTGTAGACTCAACCCACGGGCTGTGGGATGCCCCACGAGATTGGGATGTGCTTGGGCTACTTGTCTGCATGACTTTGCCACAGGCATGCTTGTTTGTTCTTATGCGGGAGCCCCCTTGGTCGCCTTTCCACATTTCATTAGTGTGACCACAACTCTAGTACTTGCTGGGCCTAGGTGACCAACTTCAAGTTCTAGATGGAAGTGTGCTTAGCCTTCCTGCCTGTGTGCCTGTACAGCTGATGACGCCTAGATTTTGTCGTTAGAAAAGAATGTCTGAGTAATTACACCCTTTGGATAGGTCCTCCACTGATAATCTGAGGGAAGAATGGGGTTTAAATGGGGCTTTCTGTGAGCTTTCCCAGGGTGGTAATCTGGTCATTCATGGTCCCAGGACAGGGCACATACTCTAAGCCAAAGCCCTTCAACAATTGCTTGCAGCAAACACCAAATAAGAATTAAGTGTGTTTGCCTTCTTCTGGCTCATGGTCTATAAGTCTGTCCCTTTCGGCCATTAGCAGAGAACACCAGGCACGGATGTTGCAGAATAAAAGCCATTTGCATTTCCAATTGCTTGGAAGGCACAAATCTTATTTATTCTCATCTCTGCAGAATTCACAGATCTGCTCCTTACCCCAGAAGGTTCCCTCATTCTCACAGTGGGATTTACCATGAAGCTAGAGGGTGAGCTGGAAATTGTGGCGAGGACGCCGCTAGCCTCGGAGCTGGGATGCCTTGCCAGGCCTGCAGCCTGCGGCTCAGTAGGGAGACCTGGGTGGGACTCAGGGAGAAGGAGGAGTCCCTAATGTGCTCTCGCGCCTTCCCCATTAGAGACGCACAGTCCCAACTCCTGGCCTGCTCCCCCATGGCTCTGCCCAGCAGCGCGATGTCAGGCCTCGGGTATCGCAATAACATATCCTCCAAGCACTAGATATTTTCACAGTTTTATTTACTATTATATCCCATCATTTTTGTGCAGAAGGAAGCCGTATGTAAATTTTATTCCATTTTCTAATGGCTTGGGTTACATAACAAATAACAGCAGGAAGGAAAATTTGTATCGATACTTTACAAGAGGAACTTCGCAAGTCACTGCACGGAGATTTAAATGCAGTGCTCTAAGTTTATGGGACTTCTGCAGCTGAGTTTCGGCACATGACTTTGAATATGTCACTATATGTTTATCATGGGCTAATTGTGGAACCGCATTTCCATAGTTTTTCTTCTCCTTTTCATAAGATTACACCAGCCAGCGATAGATACAAGACTTTACAAGGAAGAAATGATCAGTTTGGGATAATTTTCTTTCCTGTCCCAGAATAACTGTGTGTTTGCATGTCTTAGGGATTCAGCTGAGATACTTTTTTTTCTTTCTATTTGTTGCTGGCGATAATGAAAATAATGATTTTTTTTTTTAAATCCTGTAGTGAACTCTCCAGCTAATCCATATTATAAATTAATCAGATTCAACAAACACCCACATTTTTAAACTTTTGGAAAAAAAATATTTAATAGGAACTAAGCAAAAGAAGAAATCAAACCAGCTGCTGACACAGCTGTTTCTTCTCTTGTTTAATTCAGTTCAATATAAAGGTACCATATGCTGCTTAAAATGATGATAGGAAAGATGAAATAATTTAAGAGAATAACAAGAAAATACATGAATTGTCAGCATTCTGTCAGATTTAAAGAATGAAGTAGACAGGTGTAGTATTGACATGCTTAACTTTGTGTGGTGTTAGCAGTTTTGGTGTGAACAACTTCTGACACGTGCTGAAGTGATGTGAGAATGTTTCTCCTCCACTTGCAGACATTGGTGAGGAGGCTGGGAGATCCGCTGGCGTCCAGCAGCCGGCGCTGCTCCGCGACAGGAGCCTGGGCTCAGCCATGAAGGACTGCCCGTACTGCGGGAAAACGTTCCGGACATCCCATCACCTCAAGGTCCACCTGAGGATACACACAGGTGAGAGATCTGGGAGTGTCCAGGCCACAGCTCGGAGGAGGAGGAAGAAGAGGAGGAGGCCCCTGACCAGCCATATTTCTGACCCAGGTCCACGGCTGTGTTGGACCTCCATGGGCCTCTTAGTGTACCGCTGGGTAGGTCAGGAATGATTCTGATTCCTGGCTCTGTTGCTCAAAATCCAAGTACTCCGTAACCCTCCCAAATGGCTGGTGAACACAGAGGCATTCCTGTAATGTGGTCCAGGCCTGGGATAAGCACACAGTTGTCTTCTACTATGAGGATGTAGCGCTTCCAGACAGTGTGCTAATAGGATGTCAGTGATAAGGCCCAGTCAACCTCTCTTAAAGGTAGAGAGGTATGAGGAGCTCTCTCAAATGCCCACGAAGAGGCCTTGGGCCCAGTCTGGGTCATGAGACTATCCCTGGGGCTGCCCATGAGGAGTCTGCTTCTCACACTGTTAGTCCTAGAGGTTGGGTGGCTCTGCGCTGGATCTGCTCTCAGGACACATCAAGATGCTGTTAGCCACATAACGGGAAAAGCCTGCTGGGCCCCTCTGACCCCCCCCCCCGTTTTTTTCTTGTTGTTTGGACATCTTACACAGCCCTTTGCAAGGAGGAATTTTTTCAGCTTTCTGCATTGTCCCTCAGCTACTGTCCTTCCTGACTTTTCTGCTAGTTGTTTGTACGTTGCCAATATTAAAAAAAAAAAAATCTATCTGAGCTATGGACACCTCCATTTTCTTTGATTTTTCTCCTGACACTTTATCTATTGGAGTATGAGCTGCTTCAGAGGATAGACAAATATGCCATCTATTTTCAAAAATAATTGTGGTCTATTTGCCAGGGAATCAATAATGCTCAGGGTTGTACAGGGATATTGAGTGCATGCGGGCTTCATGCACATAGTGTGGTTAAGGCTGAGGAGCCCCTCACCTGAAGCTTCTCCCAGTGCCCACGAATCTCCCCAACTTGGAGAGGAGACCTGGGGACAGGGGGCAGTAGGGTGGCCTCATCCCCCACTGCTGCGTGTGACACTCATCTGCCCTGCCTCACCTCATTGCAGAGCATGACTCTTGTGGAGTCATTCCAACTAGAGGTCTTCTAAGACCAGACTATGACACCATCTCCCAGGTGGCCCTGACCCTGCCTCACCCCCCTACCTGTCCTGTACAGGTCTTTGTCCTTATCACCTCTGAAACATCGTTGCCTTCTTCCTGTTCTTCCAATGCACAATGCTGTCTCTGCCGTGAGGGCTTCGTAACATCTCTGCGTCCAACTAAAAAGTTCTCCTCCAGGGAATCACAGAGACTTAGCTTAATGTGATCCATTCAGAGCGACCGTCCTCAAGTGCCCTGTGCAGCACAGCCCTCACTCTCTGTTTTAGTTTTTCATAAAGCTAACACTTTCTGAGATAACCTTGTTCACCTCTGTTGTTTCCCTATAGTCTTATCTTTGCTTATCTTTCACCAGTCAGAATTTAAGATTAGTGAAAATGAGGGCTGGTGAGATAGCTTAGCAGACTAAGTCCTGCTTAGGCAAGCACAGGGACTGGGGTTCAATACCCAGCATCACAGGCTACTCTGGTCCCACCCCAGGGCACACTGAGCCGGCTACTGAGATTGGGTGTGGTGGTGCACACCTGTCATCCTAGTGCTGGGGAGGCAGAAAACAGGATCGTCATCCTAGTGCTGGGGAGGCAGAAAACAGGATCGCTAGGAGTCTGAGCTGCGTAGTGAGAAGCTGTGCCAAATATCTTTAAAAAATTTTTGTGAAGATGGCAGTTTTGTCCATTTTTATCCACGGACACATGATAGCCCATGGACACATGACAGCCCATTGCTGTCATTTCTGTAACCCCAGAACCTGCAAGAGCATCTTGCACAGAGTAGACTCAAGGAATTTGTTGGAAAGCCTGAATGACGAAACAAATGCTGTCTTAAGGCAGGGCTGCTCCTCTTGCCTTGCTCCAGCTGTGCAAGGACTGGAGTAGGTGCAGTGGGGACTGTTCCCTTCTCCGGGTACACAGGGAACCACTCGGAAGTGCTGCATCCCTGGGGTTGGGGGTGGAACAGAAGAGTCCCTTCCCCAGGAGTTCAGAGAGGTGCCTCTGAGCTCCGGCCCCGCCCTTCTTTGCATCTTGCCCTGCTTCTCTGTCAGAAGGCTTCCTGACCTTCCTCTTCAGGCTTTGTGTGCACTGTGCCCCCTTCTCAGGGAGGCTCTTCAGCCCTCCTGTTTTTTTTTTTTTTTTTTTTTTTAAATAATATTTAGTACAGGGTCTACAGAGTCTCACCACACAGATCAGACTTGTAGTGATCCTCCTGTTTTCAGCCTCCCAAGCACTGGGATTACAGGTGTGTGCCAGCGCGCCCAGTCTCAATCAGCGTCGCAGCGTGCCCCAGGGCAGGGCCACCATGGCATGCCAGGGATCGAACCCCGGTCCCTGCGCCACCCTCCTGTTTGATAATGCATGTAGACCTCATGAGTGCATTGTTTTCCTCTTCCTTTCCTTGCTTCTGATGGGAGCTCCTACCATCTGATGCACCATGGGCCTTGGCCTTATTTATTTACTTATTTATTTTTAGTTTTTTATTGGAAATCACAGGTATTAAACCTGGGGCCTTCACACTCAGCTACATCTCCCAAGTTCTTTTTATTTTTCACTTTGAGACAGGCTCTCACTAAGTTGCTAAGTTGCTCAGGCTCCTTCTGCCCCAGTCCTATAGAGTGCTGGGATTTTAGGTGTGTGGCACCATGCCTGCTTTGTGTTTGCATTTTGTTCCTAACTCTCTCCATGCACTAGCCAGTGCACTACAGGAGCATAAAGGGTTCTCTCTGCCCAGATGTGTCTCAGACGCTTACCCCAGAGCCTGGCTCGTGGAAGGAGATCAAGAAGTATTTGCTGAAGGAATGAGTAAGTGAGTTGTTGAAAATGACCAGGCTCGAGGGCGGGCATCTCAGATATCTGGCTTTCTCAGGTTATGCCACATCTTGTTTTCCTCTAGCAGCTGGGATCCCCTTAGGTGTTGGTGGAGGTTGTAGGGAGATACACATACTGCCAGGGTGTAGGATGCTGTCTGCAGGGTACCCACTGTCAGGCTGCCCACAAGAGAGTGGCATCTAGGCCAGGCATGTCTGTAACTGCTTTTATTTGAAGTGAACACACAGGCCTGCGTTGGGTTTGCCAGGTGGATGATAGGTGGCACGTCATGGGTGACGTAAGCCTTGCAGGAAGCATGAGTCAGCAAGCAAGGGACAGTGCCTCTGAAGGGGGAGAGTGGCTGTGCCTGTGGGCCTCACCCACATGTCCACCCTGGGGAGCAGACATTTCCCAGCATGCTCTGGGCATATTTGGACCAAAGCCGCTCTGAGTCTGACGAACACAGATGGAGGCAAGCAGGCGGATATTGCTTTCTGCACATTTAAACTTGGAGGAAGACTCATTTTTTCAAACGTCTGCTTTGCAAACTTCTGAAGTTTATGACCAGCAATTTTTGGAGGCTCTGAAGAAGGCAAGACTGGGCCATCAACTGAGGTATTCCAGAAACTTCCTAGAAGAAGGGAGAAAATGAAAGAATCCATGGAAACCTCACATCCCCACCATCCCCCTCCTCTCAGAAACAGCATTTGCCGTGTTTAAAAAGCGGAATGGTAACCAGATAAAGATCAATTTCCTTTTTATCTAAGAACAAAGAAGTTGGAAAATGCTTACACTTGTGCATTTGAATAGAACAGAAAGTGTTACATGTTATAAATCACCGAAGTAAACATCCATTATGACAATGTAAAAGTGGAGATTACATGAGTAATTAAACATCAAAATCTAGTTATTTGTTAATAAATGATTTCATGTGGGACTCAAGTGGCTGAGATGCCCTGAATGGCCCTCCCCTTTGCTCCTTCTGTTTTTTGTGTTTGCAGATGACATGGCCAGAGGACAGCAGTCTATCAAAGAAAAATACACGTTGTCCAAAATGCCATCTTTTAAAGTTTTGCTACAGTGGATTCATACCAGTGTAATTCAAAATCCAACACATAATAAGTGTATTTTAATTGGTTGGGCTCTAAGAGGGCCCCTTCTCTGTATTTTTCTATCATACTCCATCTTTATTAGAAATCTTGATTGTGTGACATCGACTGATAGAAAACCATTTTCCTTTCTTTCTCCACTGCATTAACTTAATTACTGCTCTTCTTCTCCCAACACCTGTTTATTAGAGAGGCACTGAGTAGATGCACCAGTCAGCTTGCTCTGCACACCTGGGGGCCAGGGAAGAGCCTGCAGGTAGCTAGGTCATGTCTGCTGTCCCCCAGCTTCTGCCAGCTCCGTGGGGACACTGAGGGGATGCCTAGAGGCTCTTCCAGCCTCCCTCCTGGCAGGGCAGATGTTGATTTCTACCCACTCTGGGGAAACTAAGACTTACCCTGGGGTATGGGGAATGTTTCTTCTAGAACACGAGGGCTGTGTTCTGAATGCAGAACCAGTCAGTCCAGGAGGAAGGAAGATTGTATCAGGGTTCTCTGGAGAAAGAACCAATAGGAGATTATATAGCCATGTGTTGAATAATGACAATTGGATCAATGATAATAGATGGAATATGTGATGGCGATTCTTTAAGAATAATGAAACTGAAGATTCCTATCACCTCGTGATACAGTAATGGCATATCACAGCTTGTCATGAATCTGTGGGGATGTTGTCGTACACAAGCCCACACTACCCTGTATATACAAGCACAGCACATACAATTCTGTGCAGTGCATGTTACTCAGCCAGGATCTCAAATGATTATGTTACAGATATATGTATTTGCTATGCTATATTTTTGATGTGTACTTCTACATTTATGTGTGTGTGTGTGTGTGTGTGTGTGTGTGCATGTGTAGCTCTGGGTTTGTATCTTTTCTTCTTTTTTTCTTTTATAAACCTGGGGCCTTCCCACTAAGCCATATCCTGGCTTGCTTGCTGATTTATTTATTTATATTTATATTTATTTATGTATT